TTCATTCTGATCCTATTGTTGAGGAACCTCCCATCACTTCATCCACAAGTACTTCCATGCCTCTCACCACTGATTTGGCCCCTACATCACCTGCAGGTGGTGATTTGAATCTTATTTCTAATACTAATGATAGGGCATCGACCATTGTTTTTCGCCGTTCTTCTCGGCCCACTAAAATGTCATCCTATTTGCGAGATTTTCATTGTAATCTCATGGCTTGTACTCCTCTGCCTATTGCCTCTACTAAACATTCACTACAGCAGTACCTTTCTTATTCGCGGCTTTCCCCGGCCTATTATTCGTTTGCTTTAAATGTTTCTGCTTCATATGAGCCACAATTCTATCATCAAGCTGTTGGTTATTCTCATTGGCGTGATGCCATGGCTACAGAACTTAAAGCTATGACCGATAATCATACATGGACTGTTGTTTCTCTTCCCCTTCATCGTCATTCTATTGGATGTCGGTCGATCTACAAAATTAAACATAAATCCGATGGGACCATTGAGTGTTACAAAGCTCGTTTGGTCGCCAAAGGATATACTCAACAAGAGGGGCTTGACTTTATTGAAACCTTCTCTCCCGTGGCTAAGATGATTACTGTCAAAGTACTTCTTACCCTTGCTGCTTCAAGATCGTGGCCCTTTATTCAGTTGGATGCCAACAACGCTTTTCTTCATGGCGATCTTATTGAGGAAGTGTATATGGATCTTCCTCTTGGATACACACCTCCTCCCACTGCTTGCACTAAAGGGGAGCGCTTGGTATGTCGGTTAAATAAGTCCATTTACTGGCTCAAGCAAGCCTCTAGGCAATGGTTTGCCAAATTTTCTGCAGCATTGTTGAGTTTTGGCTTTCAGCAGTCCAAATCCGATTACTCTTTGTTTACCCGAGGAACTGGTGATTCTTTTATTGCTCTCTTAGTATATGTGGATGACATCGTGATTACTGGTGCTGATATTTCTTTGATTCGGTCATTACAGCAGATGCTTCATGACTGTTTTAAACTTAAGGACCTTGGTACTTTACATTCCTTTCTTGGTTTAGAAATTGCCCGTATTTCTAAAGGCATATGCCTTTCTCAACGACATTATGCTCTGACCCTTTTGAAGGATGTTGGTCTTTTAGGCAGTAAACCGACTGCTGTCCCTATGGATCCTTCTGTTCAACTTCGTGTTTCTGATGGAGAGCCTTTAAAAGACCCTACTGAGTATCGACGTCTCATTGGCAAATTGTTATATCTTACTATTTCGAGGCCCGACATCACTTATGTTGTCCATCGGCTTAATCAGTTCGTTTCTCGGCCGTGTAAGCCTCATTTACATGCTGTGCATTACTTACTTCGCTATTTGAAGCGTTCTCCAGGACAAGGTATTTTCCTCTCTGCTTGTTCTTCTTTCCAGTTAAGGGCTTTTGCTCATGCTGACTGGGGTTCTTGTCCCGATACTCGTCATTCAACTACTGGATTCTGTGTTTTTATGGGGAATTCTTTAATTTCGTGGAAATCCAAGAAACAAACAACCATTTCTAGATCCTCTGCTGAGGCTGAGTATAGGTCATTGGCTGTTGTTTCTTGTGAACTATCCTGGCTTTGCTCATTGTTTGCTGACTTACAGATCGTTTCTTCTCCTCCGACTTTGGTTTTTTGTGACAATCAGGCAGCCATTCACCTGGCCTCTAATCCGGTGTTTCATGAGCGAACAAAGCATATTGAACTCGATTGGCATTTTGTTCGGGACAGGGTTCAAGATGGTTCCATTCGACTTCGTCCTGTTCGTTCTTATCTTCAGTTGGCAGATGCTTTCACGAAGCCCCTGACTTCCACTGTTTTTCATTTCCTTATGTCCAAGCTGGGCTTGATTGATCTTTTTAGTCCATCTTGAGGAGGGGGTATTAGAGGTTTGTTGTAACTTAAATTATTAGTTAGTTACGTGGTTATTTTTCAATTTATTATTGTCACTTTGTATCCATGACCTTAGTCTTTTAGTATTTAAAGACTTTGTACAGGTGAGTTTTTTTTAATGAGAATATTCACTCAAATTCTCACAACTAAAATAGGTGAAAGAGAAAATGAAAAGAAGATTTTGATTAAAAAAAAACACAAGAGGAAGATGATTACGAGGAGAGGAGGGAAACTAAAGAAAGAAGAGGGAGATTTGAAAATGAAACAAAAAAAGGAAAGCGGCAATTCTAACTTTTTTAGAAAGTGGATATTTTGTTGAAAGGAAAAAAGAATTAAAACAAATTGTGTGGAAAAGATTTAAAACCAAGAGACGAAGTAAGAGAGGAAGAGGAGTGAAAATGGGAGTAAGAATTTTGAAATAAAACAAAAGAAATAAATGTTTAACATGAAAAGGGGATAAAGGTGAAGAGTTTCTAGATTGAATTTGCATGTCGTGCACATGGCACGTACCGACTTCGCAGCTGCACCGACTGTGTCTCCATACCTCCACGCCCGCTACTACCTCCTGCCACACTTGATCTGACATCTACGACCGTATCTTATCACTCCCCTGCACTTCACGGAATAAAATCACTCCAAACACCGAAGCCTTTTTTATGCAATGAGATGGGCTTCGGCGTGGGACTGAGGGGCTACTATTGGTGTCTGTTTCGTGAGTTGTATGTCCTCCCACCCATCCACATTCTCTCTCCTCTACTCAAGGAACACTCCTGTTTCGCGCACTCTCTTCTAGAAGGCCACAATGCTCTCTATTTCCTCTACTTGAGGAATCACCTATTTCTGCACTTTCTCGGAAGGCCGCTTGCTCTCTCTCTTTCTGAGAGACTGCACCAGAGCACGACTCATATAACGGGCATGCCCCCCACCCTTCTTTCTTAAAGGTCAACCCTATGCGCGACCGCAGTTGTGGCCCCCTCCTTGTTGGGCCACATATCAGCCTCGTCATTGGGCCGGCCGGGCCAGCCCAGCCCAAAGAAGTAATGGCCCAAGCTCTACGGGCCTAAGTATTGTTTGGGCAACTTGGGCCGGTCCAACCACTCAAACCTAGGCTCATAGTGCAATCCATGAGCCTAAGTTGATGAGCCAAGATTGGATCGGGTTTGGATTGGCCCGTATATTAATATAGTTTTAATTATTAAATTTTAAAATTTAAATAATTTCCAAACTAAGTTTTTTTAAAAAAAATTCTAGAATATGTATTTTTATATAATTTTTGGTACATTTTTTTGTCAATTTTTTTTTTAACTTGAAACAGAAATAATTTGAGATGAACATAGGTTAAATATAAGAAAAATTGAAAACTTAAACACTTTGAATTGGAACTTGAGAGAATTTGAGATTGAGAATTAGAAAGAAATTGAGATTGAGAAGTAGAATTTGAGTGAAGAAAAAAAGAAGAAGGTTGATATTTATAACAAAATTTTGTATTAAAAAATTTTAAAAATTACAACCTAAATATTAGATATGTTTAAAATAATTTTAAATTTTGAATTTTAAAATATTATGGAGTTGGAATCTTTAAAATCTTTTTTACTTTTTAAAATAAGGAGTTAAATAAGATATTGGGGAGTTGAAGAGTTTATTTATAAAATGTTTCAAAACAAATATTTAAATTAGATATTGCAAAGATTGAGAGTTTCTTCGTAACATGTTTCTATTTAATAGGGTGGAAATTAACTTATTGTATTTCAGTCTACCATATGTTATTTATTTTTTATAATAAATAATAAATTAATATTATATAGTATAAATATTAATAAATATTGGATCGAATCTTTGGACCGATCCAAATATGGCCCAAACGGACCGGCCCATGGGCCAGCCCAATTTGAAAAACAAAGATCCATATCCAATCTAATTTATGGATAGGCTGGGCTGAGCCGGGCTAGTCAAACGTTGACCTTGGTCGGGCTTGGATCGGGCCTGGGCTGTATTTAGGCCGGACTTTGGACTTTGAGCCCGATGATGAGGCTGAGCCACATAGCAGGCACGCCATGACAGCCACACCCAAGTGTCCATATACCTCGGGGCACCACCGCGGTCCCTTACGGTTGATGAGGAACTATAATGACAAGTATAGACTGGCTCCTCAAGTGGCTTAGATAAGAAGCAGTGACAAGATCCTCAAGCAAATGAGATAAGTGACTCCCATCTCAATTCTAAGAAAGTAAAAGTAAATTAAAAAACAATAAGAGAATGAATGCATTTTTTTACTACAATAAAGGAAGTGCAGCTCAGGAAGTCCATGTTAGGTGAAAATGATGGATTCGACTCCAAGATCATTTAATCCTAAAGAAAGAAAAAGAGGAGGAGAGAGAAGGAATTTGCCTATAGATCTTCAATTGCGTATTAAATATCTCTCACCTCCCTGATTGTCCATCTAAAAGTATAATAAAAGTCAAATTACAAATTTAACCCTCAACAAATCTACTCGTCAAAGTGTTATTTTAATGGATTTCTAAACTTTAAGATTTTAATGGATTTCTAAACTTTAAAAATTTGTTTAGTTCTTGATATTTAAAATGATGTTTCTAATAAATCTTCGAATTTATAATTTGATGCTTAATTGATGTTTATTGTTATTTTGATCACTTTGATGTTTATGTGATAGTTTAATTGGTCATCATATAAAAATTACATGGTTAAGTTTAGTGTATTTATGCAGGTTGATTTTGTTCCATTTCCTCATCTTTTTCTCACTTGCAAAAAAAAAAAAAAACTAATTCTTTTAATCTACCCAAAATTATCTCATTTGTCATACATTCAATTTGGTATCAACGTATAGCTCAATTAATTAAGTCAGGCTCGAATTTGAACTCTCACATATTATCGTACTCTAAAAAAAATTGATAATTTCCAAAATTTACTAGAACTATGGCACAACTTAACAAATTTAAGGGCAAACTTGTAATTTAATAAAAAAATAGAAAACTATATAATTAACTAATATCCATCTACCCAACGGAAAAATGTATTTATTTAAAATGTTATTTAGAGAGAGAAGGAAAAAATTAATAGTAATAATCGTCCGAAATAAAAAAGAATGAATATGCAAATAATCAAACAGTGGGATGAGGTCAACCCTGCTTCCGAGCAGTTCCTAGATCCGTTTTTTGTAAGCACCCCTCCCTCTCTCTTCCATTTCTATCCTCTTTCTTCTGCTTCCAAAACCAGACTCCAACATTTCCTAATTTGACTTCCATTTCTCTGCAGACTTTGTTCATTTGTTTGTCCATGACCCCAAATGAGGCCTCACAAGCCCTACTCCGCCGGCGCCACCCACGCCCTTAAGGCCCTCAAGTTCATCGCCACCAAGACCGGCTCCGGTTGGGCTCCTGTTGAGAAGCGTTTCGATGAACTCACCGCCGCCTCCTACGGCCTTCTCCCCTCCTCCTTGTTCGGAGACTGCATAGGTAACAACACAACACCCAACTCCAATTCCAATTCCAATTCCAATTTTATCTCTGATTCTAATTAATTCTAATTTACTGTCACAGGAATGAACAAAAAATCCAAAAAGGTCGCCGGAGAATTATTCCGAGCACTGGCCCGGAAGCGCAACATTACCGGCGATTCCATTAACAAAGCACAGCTCAAAGACTTCTGGGAACAGATCTCCGACGACAGCTTCGATTCCAAGCTTCAGACTTTCTTTGACATGTAACACAACGCAAAAAAAAACCTTTACTTATTTATTAATTTCCTAAATCTAAATCTAAATCTAAATCTAAATCATCCCCCATTTGGATTTTTGATACTGCAGGGTGGATACAGATGCAGATGTAAGAGTCACGGAAGAAGAAGTCAAAGAGGTACCCAATCCAATTGATTAATTATATAACATAGACTTTTGAGCAATTAAACCGTGGTCGAGTTTGACTTTGAATTTGAATTTACTGTGTAGATTATCAGTGCCTCTGCGAAAAAGATTTCCGCAATTCAGAAACGAGCAAGAGAGTATGCAGCGTTGATCATGGAAGAATTGGACCCTAGAAATGCTGGCTACATCATGGTAATTTCAAATCCCCACATAATTAAAGCGAAAGAAAATTCAAAAATCTTCTTCTCTAACATTAAATTTGCAGATTAACAACCTGGAGACTCTGTTATTGGAAGCCCCGAACCAATCGGTGAGAGTAGATAGCCAAGTTTTAAGCCAATTGTTGACCCAGAAGCTGAAGCCCACTAACACGAGCAACCCCATCGTAAGGCCATACGACAAGTTCAAATACTTCGTGGAGGACAATTGGCAGAGGATATGGGTGATGATGCTCTGGCTTGGCATCATGGGTGGACTATTCGCTTACAAATTCATCCAGTACCGCCACAGGGCCGTGTTCAACGTCACGGGTTATTGCATTTCTATTGCCAAGGGAGGAGCCGAGACTCTCAAGTTCAACATGGCTCTGATTCTGCTGCCGGTTTGTCGCAACACCATCACCTGGCTCCAGAACAAGATCAAATTAGGCGTCGTCGTACCCTTCGACGACAATCTCAACTTCCACAAGGTCATAGCGGTGGGAATCACAGTGGGCGTGGGGCTGCACGCGCTGGCGCATTTGACGTGCAATTTCCCACGGTTGCTCCACGCGACGGAGGAAGAATACGAGCCCATGAAGCCATTCTTTGGAGAGGAGCAGCCGGGGAACTATTGGTGGTTCGTGAAGGGCGTGGAGGGATTGACGGGTATCATAATGGTTGTACTGATGGCCATAACCTTCACATTGGCCACTCCATGGTTCAGGAGAAACAAGCTGAATGTACCAAAACCCCTCAAGAGGCTCACCGGTTTCAATACCTTTTGGTACTCCCACCACCTCTTCATCATCGTCTACATCCTCCTCGTTGTCCATGGCATCTACCTTTACCTCACCAAGGAATGGTATAAAAAAACGGTAGGCAACCTAATAATTTGTCCCTAGTCACATCATGTCCGTATGAAATTTGTAGGTTTGTTTTATTAATGTGGTGTGTGGATTTGTAGACATGGATGTATTTGGTGGTGCCGGTTTGTCTATACGTGTGCGAGAGACTAATAAGAACTTTTAAATCCAGTATCAAGCTGGATAAGATTCTCAAGGTGAGCGCTGCAGCCAATTCTATGCCATCTTATTATATCCATTTATTGAAAGTACTGCATTAATTAATTAATTGGTATAGGTGTCTGTATATCCTGGAAACGTTCTGGAGCTGTACATGTCGAAGCCACATGGGTTCAAGTACAAGAGCGGGCAGTACGTTTTGGTTAACTGTGGATACATATCCCCCTTCGAGTGGTACGTTGAAATATGATACCCCTATATTCTAATTTCTATCTATCTTCGTTATTGGAAAACTAAAAAGCAAACAATAAGATAATCTGAGTATTGAATATACATAGGCATCCATTTTCAATTACTTCAGCTCCAAAAGATGAGTATCTTAGCATCCATATCCGGACACTTGGTGACTGGACAAGGCAGCTAAAGACTGTATTCTACGAGGCTTGTCATCCTCCCCTAGCTCCAAACCCCAAGTAAGAAATGAAATAAAATCAAATCAAAATCTGCGTCGGTGGATAGAGACTAATTGTTTTTAAGAATAAAATATTATTTGCAGGTTCCCAAAAATATTGATCAACGGTCCATACGAAGCACCAGCACAAAACTTCAAGAAATATGACGCGGTGCTGCTAGTGGGGCTGGGGATCGGAGCGATGCCGATGGTGAGTATAGTGAAGGACATAATCTACAACATGGAGGAGGCGGAAACGGAAGCAAACGCAATGGAGAAGGGACAAGGGCAAGGGCAGAGGAGCCAACAAGGAAAAAGGTTCAAGACCAGGAAGGCGTACTTCTACTGGGTGACCCGTGAGCAGGGTTTGTTCCAGTGGTTCATAGAGATAATGAACAAGGTGGTGGAGATGGACGAGAAGGGCGTGATCGAGCTCCACAATTACTGCACCAGCGTGTACGAGGASGGCGACGCCCGRTCCGCCCTYATAGCCATGCTYCAGTCSCTGCACYACGCCAARAGCGRCSTCGACGTCGTCTCYGAGACACATTTCAAGTCCCACTTTGCCAAGCCCAACTGGCGCCAAGTTTATAAGATTATCGCTCTCAACCACCAGCACACTCACGTTGGTGGGCCCCCCACTCCACTCCCACTCTCTCTCTTTTTCTTTTTTCTTTTTTCTTTTTTTTTCTACTCTTATCTATTAATTATTTTTAATTTTAAAATTTTTTGTAGGGGTGTTTTATTGTGGGGCACCGACACTAATGAAGGAGCTGAAGGAGTTGGCTTCCGATTTCTCCCGCAAGACATACACCAAGTTCGAGTTTCATGAAGAGAACTTCTACTTTTGAATATGACCAAATGAAAAATAGGTAGATTTAATTCAGGGATTTTAGTTACAGGGTTTAGGTGTATTTTTCTATATAATCCTTAAGCTTCAAAAAGTAACGGTTTAGTCTCTAACATTTAGAAAATAGTTTGGAGCTAAACTTCTCTTAACCCCACTAACGAAAGGCTGACGTGGCATTGATTTTTATATAATATAGCAATATTTATTTTTTTAATATTATATTTAACTTTTTTCCTCTTTCTATCTCGTACCTACCCCCTCCTCAAGAAATCATCTCATCTTGTTGATTAGGCCTTTTGTTTCTCTCTCCTCGCTCCTTCCTCCAACTTCATGGATGCCTAGTGCAGCCCTGTTTTAACTTGGACTAATTTCCTGCAAGCCAAGGCAGTGACATGTATCTGTTGGAAAAAAAATAGATCAACCGATCCTCCTAAAAGTTCTCAGAACTATTTGATTTTCTTCCTCCACACGCTAAAATATAGACTAGTAACAATAGCGAGGAATAAGAGATAAAGATAGAAAAGCTTAACGTCACATGGATTATACTGGTTCGCCCCTAACTTGAGACTACGTCTAGCCTTCTACGAAAAATTAAGTTGAGAATATTTTTCACTCAAGATATTACTATCTTACTTCTAAGTACCTTAACAATGGTTACCTAGGATTACACAATTGAAAATACCTTCACTAAACTCACGAGATACAAACTCCATTTTTCACACAGTGCCTATAATCACTCAAGTCTCTTTTATTTACTGCCTATAATCACTCAAGTCTCTTTTATTTGGATTCTGTACAAATGAAACCTTTACAAAATGGTTATAAGACAATAATATCCTAATTCTTGTAGAAACTGGTAGTAGTATTGAAAATCATTTTCTTAGATCATCTATTTTGGCTCTATTATCCCGACAACATCTTCTCCAATTGTTTCTCAATTTTAATTTGTGGGTTTCTGTTTATAATCTCTGGGCTTTTTGTTTTTCGCAGAGCATGGACAAGTTGAGGTATTCTCTTGTGTGCACTATTCTAGAGCTACGGAAAACCAGAATTGCGGTTCATGACGAGCCAAAGCCACTAGAGAGAAACGAAGCCAATAAGACAGTGAAAAACTTCTCCTCTTCAAACTCTTCCCGCCTCCTCTCTTTGCCCAGTGAAGACGAACCCGGAATCGACTTCTCCTCCTCCGATTAGGAAGAAAGCATCGCTTCCTCTCCAATTCCGCCTGAAATCACCGACTGGCTCCCGGACAAGTTGAGTCCTAAATGACGGATAGCGATGGAGAGGTAGGTAAATCAATGGAGCGATGTTGGATTGGGGGGTGGAAGATGAGGAGAGGATTAAGAAGATGACAGATTGAGCCTGCTGAAATCACCAAGATCACTCACAAATCGCCTACCGGAAGAGTACTAGAGAAGAAGGAGCATGTACAAAGTGGGGAGGAAATTTCGCGGAATGAATTTAATTTGAGGCGATAGGAGCATGTACAAGAACACAAAGTTGGAAATTGTTACTATGACATTTTGCCATGTCACCATCTTACAAAATTATTCTTCATCCCTCATTTATTTCTTCATACACAATACACAATATAATTTCCGTCTTTTTCTGTTACTTTTTTTTCTTTATCTTTATTATTTACGTTTCATCTTCTCCCTTTACTATTTTTTCTCTCTTTTTTCAAATCAAAATTTTCAATTGATATTTTTCCGTTTTCCTCATTTTCTCTAAATTCAAATTCAAATTCAAAATATCTCATTAAATTTTATAAAATTGTTAACTAATTTAATTCACACAAAATCTTTATTATCCACAAAAATTGGCCTAGGATTTAGAACGAGTACTACTCAAACATTTTAATCTCCAAATTCTTTTTTACTATTTTTGGTTTGAATTTTACTTTTGTATTATTTTATTTCATTTTTATTTATTTACTTTTTCCTCCTGAATTTTTAGTAGGAGAAAAAAAAATCAAAATCTTTGTTTTCCCAACCTCTCTAACTTCACTCAAGCTCTCCATCTCTCTACCCTATTCACCTCTCCTCCCCCCCTCCCTTATCTCATCAATTTCCCTCTCCTCTCACTAAGATCTCTTTTTCCCTCCCTATTACTATCGCTAGCAATATTATTCTATCTCCTTTTCCCTCTCCTCTCACTAAGATCTCTTTTTCCCTCCCTTTTTTTTGCTATCGATGCTCCTTTTTTTCCTATCGATCTCCTTTTCCAACCGATCTCACTCTTTTTTTTCTCTCCTGGCGAATGAATAATGGAAATAAGAAATATGAAGATTATGAGAAAACTTGAAAAAAGAATCTAAGAAACAAAAGAAAGAATTAAAAAAAAAATTTAGAAAGAGAAAAATTAAGGAATAAAAAAATTTGGAAAAAAAATAAAGAATCTAAGAAAATTTTGAAAGAGAAAAATAAAGAATAAAAAAATTGAAAGAGAAAAAATAAAAAACCAAACATATGAAAACTTTAAAATAGAAAAATATAAAATCGAGTTGAAAAAAAATTGAAGAATAAAAATAAATAATTGAGTTAAAAAAATTGAAATAGAAAAATAGATGATGACGAAGGAAAAGAGGGGAGGAGTGAAAAGTAATTTGAGATGAGAATAACCAAGTTTTTTATAATCGAATCATATCTCATTATCATTCCTACGTTTATCCCCAAAGAGAGAGAAAAATTACACGTGAGTTTTTTTTTTTTGAAACACACCTGAGTTAAATATAATATAAAATTAATAAATATTGTTATATTATTTTAGTATTCAAGTTATTTTATGCATCTTGACTAAAATTTAAGTAGGATGATATTTGAACTAATTTTCGCTGGAGTATTTATGTATTGTTGGATCGGTACGACAAACCTAGAGGGATGAATATGGTTTAATCACAATTTGTAAATTTTTTAATACGGTGGAATCAATTTAAATAAATAAGTAAACTTTTTATAAATAAATGATTTTAACACAAAATTAATCAATAAATTAGAAATAACATTTCAAGCACCAAAATTAATTTCAATGTAAATATTGCACATAAAAATGAATAACAAATTCTAGTAATTAATTTGATGCAATTTATGATAAAGAAAATTAATTGCAAAAATTAAATAGTAGAGGATAACTCTGAAAATTTTATAGTGGTTCGGCAACACCGGCCTACTTCACTTCCAAAACTCCTCTTGGGTGTTCAATTGAAGAACTTGATTCTTTCCACGACTTAGAGTCCAACTGGTGTACAACGTTCTTTTTCCAAGAGCAAGAACAAATCCAATTCTTTCTACGGTTCAGGATCAAACCGTTACAATGCTCTTTTCCGAACTTAAAAACAACTCTTACAATATTTGAAATTTGAATACAATCTCATAAAATCTCTCAAAAGTAGATGTATAAAATTACAAGCACAAATTTATAAGAAAAATTTTTATAAATTGAAGTCTTCTAATGGTTAGGAAAAATAAAATTTACAAGTATAATAATCTCTCGAAATAAAATCTCTTTCAAGAAATTATAATAACATTGAAGCTTTAGAAGATGAAGAACAATAGAAAAATTGTGAGAGAAATGTAGAGAGAATGAGTATCAAAAATTTGGGAGAAGGAGGGTGTTTAAATAGGAGAGAAAATAAATTGAAATTGATTTGAAACCGAAATCAATTTGAATTATTAAATTTCAAATGATTAAATATGAAAGGTTGAGATTAAATTGAATAATAATAATAATAATATATTCTTTCTCTCTCTAAGCTAGGAAGGGATTTTTTTTTCAACTGACACATGCATCAGCATATTTGACCTTCATTTTCCTTTTTCTTTTCATTTCTTTCTTTATTTTTTTTATTTCATATTTTTTTTCTCTCAATTTTTTTTTCTCATCAATACAAATTGCTATCACATTCTTTTTTGTTGCCCGCTGCAATTACACAACTGTCACGTCGTCTACTTTGTGTATTTTTCATTCCAACTTATTTATCTATAATTTCTTCGTTTGAACTCCAATTTGGATGATTCAACCTTCATTGGAATTGTTGTTTCAAACTCTACGATGTGGATACTTCAAAATATCAAAATTATTAATAAACAAAATTAGGTTTGTTATCATCAAAATATTAATTAATTAATTAATTAATTAAAGTTAATTAATTTAGAATTAACGGTCAAAAAGCCAACAATCTCCATTTTTTATGATGACAAACTACTAATGAAAAATGTGTAGACATTAAGTGATCATAACATTAAGTCTAACAAATCACCATAAAGTTCATACTTGAAATTCATTCAAAAGTTAATTTCTAACAACTTCATTCATTTTTCTTAATACCTATCCCCTCTTGGAATCAATCAAAAAGAACATTTAGAAAAATAAATAAAGACATAAAAGCTCCCATTTTTAAAGAAACTTAATACTTTACTTAATAAGGGAAAAAAGACATTTTAACGCAAGTTTTATAAAACCCCCTATCAAGATGCCTTCTAAACAAAAATTAACAAGAAACCCAAGAGGCATTAATGATAAGCAATTATAAAATAAATTTGCCTCAATATACTTACTCTCCCTAGACAGATAAACAATATACATAAAAGGAGTAGAGTTTAAATCAAACCTCAATAAGCTTTGACATCAACACATTTCATCCTTATTCTCTTGAGCACATTTTCAACATATAGGGAGGTAATCAATAAAGTGCAATATAAAAAAAATCCATTATCACAAATATGACAAATAAAATATTATAACTCCCCCCAAAGATATGCAATCTCATCCTAATAATAAATATCAACAAATACCAAGAAGATAAAAGTAGCACAATCAAAAAAAGTTTGTACAAGATAGATATATTAAAAAAATCAAGATAGATCAATCTATCTCAAACGTGATATACAATATTCCAAAATATCAAATGTTAGAAAATAAAACACCGATTGATAAAGAAAAACAGAGAAGTATAACAATATCACAATTTATGCCACCAAAACAAATTTCAAACAAACATAGGCAAATAGACAATATATATCAACTATCAAGAACAATATTTCTCCTTTGAAAAATAATTCGACAGCTCTTTTGAACCAAAATTTCAAAAGAAAAAATTTTCGACAATGAGCAAAATTTTACAATTAATTTTCATAGAAAGTACTTAGTTTATGGCCAAAAAGCATTATCTAAATAACATATTCCAAGAGAATAAACAAATAATATACTCAAATTAATTTTAATAGACTAAGTACATACTTCATGCCAAAAAAACATCTAAATGTTTTAATTAAATTCATCCGAGAAATAAAACAAGATACATTTCTTCTCAAGAGAAATAGACAATATATCTCAACTGCAAGAACAATATTTCTCAAAACTCAATATCTACAATATCATGCTAAAATAGATATTCAATCATTTCTATTTTAAACCAATATTTTAAGCAATGGACAATAAGGATTATGAATAAATCTCAAACTAATTTACAGTTTTTTAAGATAAATTAATCCAATAATCCATAAATAATCAAGCAATAAAGATTAATGCCAAAACTATTCTCGAAATACTCAAAGGCATTTAATCTAATGAACAATAAAATATAAGAAATCAATTTCAACTTCTCTAACCCATTAAGAAAATAATTTCCATAAATATATCACTATCATAATATTCTCAACAAAAAATAATTTAACCATATCGAAAAAGTATTTTTCCTTCAATTTATTCAAGCAAGCTGTAGACACCGTATTTGGTTCGACTTATTTTTAATTTTAATTTATATTATTGTATTTTACTTTATTAAGTTTTATTTTAATTAAAAAATAACATAAGGTTACTTTATTACTAGTTTTAATATAAAGTTCAAATTAACTTAAATTAAAAACGTTAGATTTATTTAAATGTTTAATTTTATTAATAAGAAAATAAAAAATGGTTTTGTTTAGATTTTGTTTAAATAGATTTTGTTTTATTATTAAAATTAAAAAAATACATTATTTGTTTTCAAATAAATAATTTTATTTTAAAAAGATTTTGTTTTAATTAAATAAAGATTTTATTTCATAACAAAACGTAGTTTTTTCCTCTTTGATTTTTTCCTCTTCAAAGCCACGTAACGTGGCATCTTCTCCTTCCTTTCCTTCCCCTCTTTTCTCTAACCATCTCATTGTTACCGTTGGAGCATTGTGTATTTAAAGAGGACGCACACAATACACCTTGAGAGCAGGTGACAGCATAAATCTCATAGAAATTCGCTTTAAAAATTCACATTTCCTTGCGCATCACACAACTCCGAGAATTTGCCTGCGTGTCAAATCTGACTTTACTTCACTCTCATTGTAGAAATCTCCTCAAATTCCAATCTATGCATGGTAAGTTCAATCATCCCACCCTATTTCGATTACATCAGTCAACTATGAAAGTTTTTTTTTTCCTTTTTGTCACAACTGGATGACAAATTGGGGATGAGAGAGAGCATGAATCCTTGATTTTGTAATAGAATAGGCAAGTTTTAGTGGGATAGATTTTTGAGTTTTCACCCAGTTTA